TTGCCCTTGAAGCATGAAAGAAAACCAAGGAGAAGATCCTTACCTTGCCGAAAATGGATTGAAAATGATATCAATAATGGAACTCCATTGTGATCTAGCCTTAAAACAATGAAGATAAGAAAAGAGAATCTTTGAGAATTGAAAACAAGATTAAGGGGAGTGAATTTAGAAATCAAAAACAGAAAAGAAAGGGAATTTATTAGCTAGGTTGAGAGAAAATAAGAGAAAATTGAGGAAGTTAAGAGAAGCTACCAAAATGTGAAAATGAGAAAATTAAGAACACGAGAATGAAAACAAGTAATTAAGAAAATGTAATTTGAATTAAAATGAATCTAGATGAAATTATGGTAAAAAGGAGAAGTTAAAATACTTTAAGTTTAGGAGGAAAACTCTAAACATAAGCCTTGGTAAAATTGCTTCATAGACTTTGGACGTTGTGATAATTTACAAAATGGTCACTAAAATTACAATTTCCAATTCTTTCAAACTAGTCACCAAACAATTAATGTAACTTCCAAAATTAAAATCAAATATATAAAACAACTTAAAACCTTTCCAAAACATTTATTAAACCAAAATAAAAATTTTAATATTTTTCTTTCTTTCTCTTTTTTTTTATCGGAAATCCGAATATTGACCTGAAATCGACCCGAACTACAATACCCAATTTGGGATGTTACAACCTGTGTTCCCTTTCTTGGAATTCAATGTGTGTATGACTTCCTGGTTAATAATCTTGGTTTCCATAATGCTTCTACCAGAGATGAAGCTAGTCTGATTTGGAGCTATAAGGCAGGGAATGATAGGTTTGAGTATACGAACGAGAATCTTGGCAATGAGTTTGTAGAGGACCGTGCAAAGGCTGATCAGGCGAAATTCTTTAAGGGTGCGTTTGGTTCACGGAATGTAAGATTACCAGTGGGAATAAAAGATTACCAGGGAATAGGATTACTGGGAATGTTGTATTTTGTGTTTGGTTGGTTTAGCAGGAATGTAAGATTACCGTGTTTGGTCAAAGGAATAAAAGATTATTGGAATGTATATTTGACCAAATTGTCCTTATTATATATATTTGTATAATATTACAAATTGTAAAATATTTATATATTTTCTTTAAAAAATTAAATTCATAATATTTATATAATTTTTTTACAAAATTAAAAATATAAAAAATGTTTAATGAAAGGGTAAAAAAAATTTAACCCCTAAACTTCATATAAAATTTTAATTATAGACTTTTTTTGTAAATCTAAAATAATTTAAGGATAAATTTGTAATTTAACATTCGTATAATTTTTATTATTTAATGACAGAAGAAGGATATTTTTGAAAAAAAATAAAAATTTAAGGGCATTTTAGTCCAAAACGCCGGTAATGTTACAATACCTAAGGGAAGGGAGGTAATGACATTCCCGGTAATATATCCCAAAAAATCTACTATTGGTAATAAAACATTACCGGGAATGAGATTCCCGGCCAACCAAACATGGGAATGTGGGACATTCCTTGAACCAAACACCCCCTAAGGTTCAAGAGGCTAGCACTCTTGAGGATAAGGACAAGGATGGTTTTGTTGAAGGAGGGGTCTATGTCGTGCCCAGAATAGATAGCTTGAATCGTTCTGCAAATGGAGGGGCCCATAATCTCCCAATGTTTTTGGAAAAATGGGCATGAAGGTCGTCCGCCCCAGGGGATTTGAAGGGAGACATAATAAGCAGTGCGTCTTTGATTTCAGGAGGCTCAGGAATGCAATATTGTCAAATTTTTTTATCCATTGATTAACATTTAACATGGAATTCCAATTATCCATATTAAATTATAACATTATAAAACATGAGCAATAACATTTTTGCCGTTCAATCAAATGGATAAAATTATCTCTTGAATTTTTATTCAATCCAGTTATTCAAAATTTTACCGAAACATAGGTAAATAACCTAAATAACTCTTGGCAAAAGTATTGCTTAAGAACTTTAACTTTTCCTAACTTTTCACTTTAGACACCAAACTTTTAATTTTTTTATTTTGATCACTAACCAAAATTTTAGGGTATTACATGTTTAGTGGGGTTGTAGTGAGAGGGTCATTATCCTATACAATTTTTCAATATCATTGATTTTATTTATATCGATACACAATTAGACCCTTTCTTAAAATTGTTAGATTCAAAATGTATCGACAATCTTAGCTGTTGTGAGTTACAAAGTAGGAATAAAATTCCTTTTATCTTATGATTGATGTTCTATTATTTGTTCGCTACCTAGAATTTACACTTGATCTATTGATTTTACCACTGCAAAGACAGATCTGATTATAATACTCTTCTTTATGGGATACAATATTTGATATACACTTGTGTATAACTTTATTACTTGAACACGTTGGTGTATGCTTGTATTATTGTCGATACATTTTTTGACACATCACTATTCAACACCTACGTTGTCAAGGAACAATAAAAGCTCAATATAAAGCTCTACTAGATAATGACACATAAGAGTTGGTGCCGCTATCACGTGATGGTAAAACAGTAGGCTATAAGTGGCTGTTTAAAGTCAAACTCAATGCGAATGAATCCATTAACATATATAAGGCACAGTTGGTGGGTAAAGGGTCAGCTCAAGTTCCAGGTTGTGGTTTTGTTGATACATTCAATCTAATTGTTGAATTTTTTTCACTATGAACGTATTTCTGTCAATTGCAATTTAAAATCAGTGGCAGGTACGTCAAGTGAATATATAGATAAAGCATGTCTTAAATGAGATGTACAAGAGAATATCTATATGCACCAACCTGCAAGCTTCGTGGTTTGTAATAATCAGGAATAGACCTAGGTGAGGGTTGGTGGGGCAATCTATCCTCTAAAAATTTAATGTTATTATATATTTTAAATTCTTTTATATATTATTTTTTGCTTGAAAATCGGTTTTTGTCCCCTATACTTTTATAAGTTTAAGTATCCTTAAAATTTTATAAATTCAAATCATCTTCTAACACAAAATCTCGCGTTCGTCCCTAATAATTATAATGAATCTCTTTTGGTGTGCAGATTTAAAAATGTGGTGTATGGCCTGCGTCAGGCACCTCGAAATTGGTTTTGTAAACTGCATTCTTTGTACCCTTTGTTTTAAATCCTCCAATGCTGATACATCATTATTTTTGTATGTTCATGAAATAGTCACTACATATGTAGGCATGTAGCTATGTATGTTGATGACATCCTTGTCAATGTGTCATCCGAACATGTAACTCAAGTAATTATCGCCCTTAATGATCGCTTCTCCCTGAAGGATCTTGCTTGTGTTCAATATTTCCTCGGTATTGATGCAATTCATGCATCAAGTGGAGTTCAGTTGACTCATAGTAAGTTAATTGATGAGCTTCTTCGGAAGACTAACATGATTGGTGCTTGTTCGATTGATACAACTATTACAGTTGCACCCAAACTTGGAAAATCTCTTGGCATTGTGTTTTTGAATGTCACATATTTTAGAAGTGTTGTTGGTGCACTCCTTTATATTTCCCACACTAGGCTATATATTTCGTTTGCGGTTAATAAGGTTGCGTAGCATATGCAAGAACTACAATAAGTTTACCGGAGTGTTGTTAAGTGCAACATTCGTTAGCTCAAAGGTATTATTAACTGTGAACTATGGTTTAGACAAGACTCGTCCATTAGCAAGTGTTGCCTATGACATTTCACAGGACCTCAAAATTTTGGTACTCAAATTTTGAAAAAAAAAATATTTTTTCTATTGTACATAGGCGTAAATAAACTTCAGTGAAAAACTTAATTTAATATATTTGAATTTTATATTTTGTAAAAAATAATCATAATAAGATAAATTTTGATATTTTATAATTTCACCTTATTATAAAATATTTTAAGAATCTCATTTTAAAAAAGTAACATATGACATATACATCTTTTGAGATGGGTCTAATTCAGACGTCCAGATGTTCTTTATACCTTCATGGATATTAATTGAAGCAATGATGTTAACGATTGTCGCTCTGTATCAGGCTACTGCGTATATCATAGAGGTCACTTACTCTTTTAGAGTTCTGAGAAATAACATTCTATCTCATAATCAACCATCGAGACTGAATATCAAAATTTGGCTGATGCCACCTCTAAGATACTTTGGATTTAATCGATTCTTGTATATATGGGCATTGTTCATGGTGAGTCTCCAATAATTTGGTGTGATAACATCAATATAGTGGCCATGGCTACTAATCCGTTTCTTCATACCGAATACACTTTACTTTTGAAAAGGTTATAAAGCAATTGTTGGTTCTTAACTATGTTGCAGCTCATTTTGACTCAGTTAATGTCCCCAGTAATCCTCTGACAGTATCTCGCTTTCAAGCTCTTCGAAAACGAGTCTCTGTTGGATCCATCTCTTGTGTGGTGATGTAAGGTGCTCCTGGTGTATATTCGGTTGTAAAAAGGAAAAGAAAACATGGCGAATATTAAGCCTAACTAATTCTATTTGATAGCCCAACCAATTATGCTGGGCTGACTAAATTCTGTTGCTTGCCCAACTACCCTCAGCAGGCTAAATCAATTAATGATAATCTTATTAGGTTTAGTCACGAGATAGGCCTGGAATGTCTTAAGGCCCATATTAACAATGGTAATCTCGAATGACACAATAATACATGAAATGATCATTTTGAAAAAAAAAATATGTACAATATCAACCCTTTTAAAAAATATAAATACTAAATTAGTTAATCTATCAAAATACAAATAACATTTGAGATATTTTATCAAAAATTCAATATCAAACATCATCCCTATAATTTTTCCGAATGACACTTGATTTATTTAGATGAAGTACTAAAACATAAAAAAATAAACAATAATTTATTACAATTAAACTTAATGAGTTTTTAAGCCTCTGGACGTGTATTAAGAACCTAGTTAAGCAAGTGAGCCAAAGTCAGTATTTTCACCAACCAAAAACCTATTGAATTAATCGGATTAAACCCCTTCAATATCTCTTGTTTTTGCTTCCAAATAATAAAGAGAAGTAAAACAAAATTTGAAACAAGAAACCCCAAGCAATGGTAATCCAGAAGCAATTCCATTTACTTAAATCAGTCATCCCTTGTTGTTTGAGAATATCAGAACCCTTTCTCAAACATGTTGAGCTTGTAATAGTCATCCCTAAACTGTTCCCTATCGACTGCAATAACCTAACTTTCACCGCCGGAGGGACTTCTCCTAGCGGTGAATTGTCGAACACTTGAACGCCTCTGGCGAAACACTTCGTAGGGTTTTCAAATTCGTTTTGTAGTACGGCTTCGTATGGATATTTCACCAGGGAAAGGTAATGGTACCATATCCAGTAATCCGGGATTCGGTCTCGGTTGATGAAGAAGCCGCTGAAGAGTAGGAAATAGGCTAAAACCGAGACGGAGATCGTGTAGCCTAACATCAAATGCGGGACGACGCCCGAGAGGAATGTCACGAACGAACTCCCGCACCAGAACGAAGCGAATATAATTAAGAAATAGAATACAAATTCGGGGAATCCACCGTCGAGCCCTACAGCCCAAAACGTCGTCACGGCAAAGGTCAGCGACAGAATCGTCAAGCCCGGTATTGTTACTAGAGCGTTCGATATTACGTATGATAATCTCCTGTACGTGTAGTAGGCGGTTTCTCTCATGAAAATGTACCTTTCTTGGAGGAACTCCGGGAGGGCGTTGGTGCAAGTGTAGAACGTCGTCGACATGGAGAATGCGAAAAACCCTATTCTTTCTTGTACCCCTCTCGCCGAATTATCGAGCTGCCAATATACCGTCGCGAGAATGAAACCCGTCACTAGAACTGCTCCGAGTCGAACCGCGAAAAGCTCCGGCATTCGTCTTGAATTCAGGATGGATCGACTTGATAATACAAGGATTTCTTTCCAAAGTGGATTTGCTAATCCTGGAACTATTGAAGATGAAGTGACATCATTTGAAGCACCCGGAACAAGTTTACCTCTACCAATACTTGCGCTAATTGCTTCTTTTAGGGTTAGACCGAGTCGGTCCAGCTCGAGTTGGGTTGTGGTTTTCATGATTTGCCATGACTTGTTGAACTCGACCAAACTCTTAGTTCCTTCTGGAGATCCTTCGAGTTCTCGGATTAAGTCTAAAACGAACTCGGTTTTGTCCTCGCCCTCGGGTATCGGATGCCCGAACTCGGACAAATACAATGGCAGATTCATCGGTGAATCATTGTAAACAGTTTGCCCACGAGACAAGAACATCATTCGGTCTAGCAACCCAAGAATTCGAATACTTGGTTGATGAATTGACATTATAACAATGCTCCCGCTTTTAGCTATCCTCTGTAGAACCTTGATCACCATGAAAGCACTGGTCGAATCGAGCCCCGATGCCGGCTCGTCCAATAAAAGGATGATGGGGTCATGAATTATATCAATTCCGATCGACACACGGCGACGCTCTCCACAGGAAACACCTCGATGACCTTCGTCTCCGATGATTGTTTTGGCGGCGTTTCTTAGGCCTAATTGATCGATCAACGCTTCGACTCGAATTTTCTTTTTGAAATTCGGCAATGACTGAGGAAGTCGAAACTCCGCCGCGAACATTAAGGTTTCCTCGACGGTGAGCATCGGGTAAAGCATATCATCTTGCATAATGTAAGCTGAAATCACTTTCAACATCCGTGATTCCAAAGCTTCGCCATTCAAAGTGACTTCCCCTTTCAAACTCTCTTTAGCTATCCTATTGGCTAAAGCATCGATCAGCGTCGATTTACCCGAGCCACTCGCGCCGAGCACGGCCATTATCTGGCCGTCTCGAGCCACGCCTGAGATTTCATTGAGCAATGTCTTGTCGGCATCCGTGTCGGCGCTTCCACCCCTCCTGGAGAAGCCAGGCAACGCCATCTTGCGATGTACTTTTACTCTATACGTAAGGTTGTTAAAGGAAAGAACGAATGGAATCGGCCGTGGCCCTGTGATGTCGACGAGGACCTCATTGACCGGAGATTCACCGCCGGTGTCTTCTTTATGGGAATCTCCGGTGACGGTTGAAAAATCGACGGTGACAAACTCCGAAGAGAGTGGAGGAGGAAACTGGGAGGGATTATTATTAGCCGAAGACATGTTTTAAGCGATGGTGAGAAACTCCGAAGAGAGTGGAGGAGGAAACTGGGAGGGATTATTATTAGCCGAAGACATGTTTTAAGCGACAATACGAGACATGATGGGGCTTTAGATTTACCTCCCTTTTGCGTAAAATAATATATCAGCCAAAGGCGACGGCATCGGTTGTTTTCAAAGACCAGAAGAAGAAAAAAAATTGGGCGTTTTATTGGAGCACGTAAATGGCTAAATCATGCAATCTGAAAACAGGAGGTGTTACATTTTTCTTGGAAGGATGCATTAGAACACGTGGACCGTTGTGACTGAGATGATATGGGTTGTAGTTGATGGGTGGTGGCATGCACGTACACACAGTTGTAGGATGACGGGGTTGGATGTTTGATAAACTGAAGCGCAAGCATTGTTCTATTATTTACAAAAGGGATGGCTCTAGTTTAATGGGATTTTAAGGCAATTATTTGAGTAATCCTTCGTGTTTTAAAGGGCCCGGGGAAATATTTCAAACCGTACTGTTCGACTTAGTTTTATTTTTTTGGGTAAATTACACAAATGATCTCCCCGCTATAAAGCGTTTATTTGTTTAGTATTTGAATTTCTAACTATTAAAAGTCATAAAATAATCTTTCGATTATAGAGTTGTTTTATTGAGTCATTCAATTTTTAAAAATTATCAATTGGTCATCCGATTATTCATATATTCCAAACTAATCATTTTTCATTAAAAAAAATTTAACGAACGTCTAAGCTATACATTAACTTGTTTACTATAACATGATAAAGGCACAACGTAAAAGGAAATTTTTGTATTAAATAGTTATTTTGATTTTTAATTTTTTGTAAGTATTTTAGTTTATAATATTTTATTTTTGAACAAAAAGTTTTTCTGTAAATGAAAATCATTGTTAATAAATAGTTAATGTTCTAAAATAGAGACTTTTTACCCTAAAATAAAATATTTGAGAGTCAAAATTTTCTAAAAAAAGAGAGATTAAAGTGGCTATTCCCTCAAACATTTAGAGTTAAAATATTCTAAAAATAATATGGATCAAAATAGTTTTTTTTATAAATATTAAGAGTTAATTCTAATATTATGCCTAAAATAAAAAATTGTTCGTGAGAAAATTCAGATCTATAGTTTAAAAATATATAGGACATTCTTTTAGGCGTAGTGTACCACCTAGCTCAAGTGGTAATCCATAAATGTTATATACTTGAATTGCATGTACCAATATATGTTTGATTCAGCACATACATGGTTAGGGACAAATCTAAAAATCAAATTAAATAGTTCAATTAAAAATAAAGGCACAATGTAAAACGAAAATTCTAAAGTGAAATTAAATAATTATTTTGGTTTTTATTTTTTAAGTATTTTTGTCCATAATATTTTATTTTAGTGTAAAAAGGTTCTTATATGAATGAAAATCGTTGTTAATAAATGATTAACGCTTTAAAATAGAGACATTTTTATCCTAAAATAAAATATTAGAGTCAAAATTCTCAAAAAAAAGGGGTTAGAGTGATTATTCACTCAAATGTGGAGAGCTAAAATATTTTAAAAATAATATGAATAAAATGACTATTTCGTAAATATTAAGATTTAATTTTAGTATTATGCCTAAAATAAAGAAAATTCGTTCCTAACAAAATTCAAATCTATAATTTAAAATATATAGGAATTCTTTTAGTCGTATTGTACTACCTAGCTCAAGTGGTAAACCATAAATTTTATATACTTAAATTTCATGTAACAATTTATGTTTGAGCACATGCATGGCTAGGAACAAATCTAAAAATCAAATTAAGGGAGGAGGCTCATAATTGAATCAATAACTTTTTTGAAGAGTTAATTGCATCATACATCCCTAATATATGGCTCTCCTTTCAAATTGGTCCATAAACTTTTAAGCGTTTCAATTTCATCCTTAAACTATGACTATCATTCTAAACTAGTCCTCAAACTTTTGAACATTTCATTTTCATCCTCAGATGTGATCTTTATTTTGGTTCCTAAACTTTTTGAATATTTCAATTTTAACCTAAATTATTCGTATATACTAATCACCTATCTTGTTAATAAAATCATTAGGCAAGTTATATTATTCTATTTGAAAAAAAAGTTAAACAATGGTTGAAATGGATTACATATTTGGATGAATTCGGGGTTGAAATTGGAAGATCTAAAAGTATAGGGACCATTTAATAATGAGATTCATAGTTTAAGGATGAAATTCGAATGTTCAAAAGCTTAAGGAGTAATTTAGAATGAGATTCATAGTTTGATAATGAAATTGAAATGTTTAAAAGTTTAAGAACTAATTTGAAATGAGAATCATAGTTTGAGGACATATGATGTAATTAACTATTTTTTTAAAGACTCTAGTACAATTTACTATTATATTAAATTACAATTTTAAAATTTCTGAAGCGGTTATAAAAAGAAATGATACCTTTTTTGGACAAAACCATTACTTCTATTCTTCCATTCACTCTCATAAATATGTTCGATCGAATTGAGTAAAAAATTCAAATTATTCGAGTTGGTGGGTTGTATTTAATGAATCAAATTTCAGTTTATTTTTTTGTATCAAATCAAGTTTATAAAATTTATGTGGAGTCCAGTCATTTGAATTTCTATTCAAATGTAATTGTAGTTATTTATAATACCATGGTATGAATATACGAGCTGACGAGTCATATTTTATGACTCAAACTTTATTTGAATTTTTTTCGAATCAAGTTATGTTTATAAAATTTGAGTCGAATCTAGTTATTTGAATTTCTATTCAAATTTAATTGTCATTATTTATAATACTATGGTATGAATATACAAGTTGACGAGTTATATTTTATGACTAAAATTTTATTAAATATTTTTTTGAATCAGGTTATGTTTATAAAATTTGAGTCGACTCTAATTATTTGAATTTCTATTCAAATTTTTAATTGTAATTATTTATAATACTATGGTATGAAGTGTCTCAAATTTATTGACTTTCTCTAACATAAAAGATATATGTGTCTATATGTATGTGTGCGTGCGTTCATATATATTATTTTTCACATTGTAAAATTATTTAATAAATCAAATATAATCTAAAATTCTAAAGTATAATTTTTATATTATTTTTAAAAAATGTACCTTGAAAATAAAATATTGAAAGGATTACAAAGGAGTGAAAGAATGATACAAAGAAAGAATTTGTAAAAAAAATGTATTCAAAAGATCAAATTAAATAAAATTCAAAGTCAAGGGATTAGATTGAAAAAAGAGTATTTTTTTGGTGAAATGTGGATTAAAGTTACATAAGTATTCTATAGTGGTAGAAAAGCATGCACTTCAAATTTGATCAAAAGTGGACTTAAAATGAAGGATTGGTTGAAAAAAGAGAAAATCATGTAAAGTTAAGGGACTAGATTACAAATAAAAAATTATTATCAAAAGGAAAAATTGATGATAAATATTTCTTGTACAATTTTTTAGGAGCATGTGGTACAAATTTTCATAAAAAATACACTTAAATGAACAAGGACTTGAATGAATGAGAAAATATGCAAAGTTGAGGGACTAAATTAAAAAATATGAATTAAAGAGATATTTGAAAATGGTTTAGGAGCATGTGGACAAAATTTGGTAAAAATATTGACTTAAAATGAAGCAGGACCAGAAATTCATTTTTAAGAATGCGAAAGTCGGTTACGCGTGAGGAAGGGTAAGCACTCTCACAGAGCCTAAAATCGGTACCCTCGATTTTACGTTGTCTAAATAGTGGAGTTTTACAAATTTGAACTCAAAATTTAAATTATGATCCTTTTATTTCTATGACTATTTTTAGAATGAGTGAATCTATTTTTTTTAAATATTTGACTCGATGAAAATGATTTAATTTACTCAGTTTTATTTAAAAAGGATGTTCCTTTACTTCAAAAATTAGTAAGAATCGTTAACCAGTCATTTTGGGCACGATCTCATTAATTCTGGATATAAAGAAACATTGTCTTTAATTATACAAAATAAGAAAAATTAAATGAGAGAGTGATGAATGCAACAATAAAAAATGACATGAAAATGATGAATAAAATACCTAAAATAAAAAAATTCAAACAAATAAATCAACAAACAAAATATTTATATTAATTAAGTTGAAATTGATGAGGTATTCTTTTACTAGTGCGTATTAAGGAATCTCATTCTAGGTGTTTGTATAGTTTTCCATAGTATTTTATGAAAATAAATATATACGTAATTATAGTAAAAAAATATACGTAACATATAAATATACAAAAATGTTAGTGTAAAAAAATATTAAACATATATAAGTATAATATGACACACGTACAACATATAAGTAATAATAAATGAAAAATATTTACCATATATAAGCTACTAATTAACCGTGACACACATAATACGTAATATAAACAAAACATAAGCTAAGCTTATTGGATGAATATATATACACATATATATTTATATATATTATTAAATAATATGACCTATATATTATATAATGGTCCGTATGTATATTAGAATGAAAAAAGAAGAAATTTAAACAGAATATGCGATGAGTGACCTAAATAATGATAACTTAAAGACTAATCAACAATACCAGTAAGAACCATGGCACCAATCACAAATCGAACAATACAAGCACTAGAAATATAATAAACCAATAAATATTCAGGACTAAAATGAAAAGCAACAAAACAAGGTACCACACATGAAATAAGTATAAAATAGAAACAAATGAACAAAAGGGACTAAAAGATAGCATGTAAAAAATATAACACAAAAATAAAAAAGCCTCAAATTGAGGACTAGTTTGCATTACTTAAAACATGAGAGGAGTCCTATAATGATAAGCCCAAAGAAAAAATGGATCCTACTAACCCAAGGCAGTGGGGTTTCGATTGGGTGCATTTAAACCCCCCCCAAAAAAACCTAAATTATAAACTTAAGTTATCTAGCAGCCTCTCTCACTCAACTTTCTCACCCATTT